AAAAAATAGCAGTGTTTGTATTCTTCTTTACAAACTCAAACATTCACTATATAAACTGAGAAATGTTTGAAGATTTTGCTTTCCTTTGAATCACTTAATGAATATTTGGTTGTAGTCGCACTGTTTCTGAGAACTGCTGTACATCTGTGTTGCATGGAGTCAACCAACTTCTGGCACCTGTGATCAGGTATTCCAGCCCAGGATGATTGGACTACATTCCACAGTTCTTCTCTATTTCTTGGTTTTGCCTCAAAAACTGCATTTTTGATGTCACCCCCACAAGTTTTCTATTGGATTAAGATCCGTGGATTGGGTTGGCCACTCCATAACGTCAATCTTGTTGGTCTGGAACCAAGATGTTGCACGTTTACTGGTGTGTTTGGGGTCGTTGTCTTGTTGGAACACCCATTTCAAGGGCATTTCCTCTTCAGCATAAGGCAGCATGACCTCTTCAAGTATTCTGATGTATTCAAACTGATCCATGATCCCTGGTATGTGATAAATAGGCCCAACACCGTAGTATGAGAAACATCCCCATATCATGATGCTTGCACCACCATGCTTCACTGTCTTCACAGTGTACTGTGGCTTGAATTCAGTGTTTGGGGGTCGTCTGACAAACTGTCTCCGGCCACTAGACCCAAAAAGAACAATCTTACTTTCATCAGTCCACAAAATGTTGCGCCATTTCTCTTTAGGCCAGTCAATGTGCTCTTTGGCAAATTGTAACCTCTTCAGCACACGTCTTTTTTCCAACAGTGGGACTTTGCGGGGGCTTCTTGCAGATAGCTTGGCTTCACATAGGCGTCTTCTAATTGTAACAGTACTCACAGGGAACTTTACACCTTCTTTCATCTTCCTGGAGCTGATTGTTGGCTGAGTCCCCTTGCCATTTTGGCTATTCTTCTATCCATTCGAATGGTAGTTTTTTGCTTTCTTCCACGTCTTTCAGGTTTTGGTTGCCATTTTAAAGCATTTGTGATCATTTTAGCTGAGCAGCCTATCATTTTCTGCACTTCTTTATATGTTTTCCCCTCTCCAATCAACTTTTTAATCAAGGTACGCTGTTCTTCTGAACAATGTCTGGAACGACCCATTTTCCTCAGAATTTCAGAGAGAAATGCACTGTAACCAGCATGTACAACATTTGCTGCCTTCCTTCCTTAAATAAGGGCAATAATTGCCACCTGTTTTTCAAAGAATGAATGACCTCACTAATAGAACTCCACACTGCTATTATTTTTGAACATGCCCCTTTCAAATAGTGATTCAATGACACAGAATCAGCAGCATGCATGTCATGACTGTTGGGTCTGTTGGATTTCTATTACTCTACTACACCCGCTAGTAAATTATTTGCCATGTAGAAATATCATTTCTACCAAAAACAGTGATTGATCCGGTTAGTGATGTCTGACTGCTGTTATTTTGAACACAATTGTATAAACGGCCCTCCCCGCTCCCTGCTTGTGTGCACTCCCTGGGAGCGCGCAGCACCGCAATCCTTTGCCCGCTGTGTCCTGCGGACACAGTGGAACACCGATCATTGTACGGGACCTCTATGCGAGGTCCCAATCATGTGATCACTGATTGGCCAATCAGTGATCACATGAAGAGTAGTAAGCAAGATGTCACTTCTGACATCATTGCTTACTACGTGTGAAATCTGTGAATGATCACAGAGGTCACATGGTACAAGGCTATTCACAACAGCCTTGTACCATGTGACAAGCTGTGACCAATCACAGCTCACACAGTATTTCTCAATGGCTGCAAGAATGCAGACAGAGAGAAGGAGAAATGATTGCTTTTACAGCCTTTATGGGTGTAAAAGCGATCAGTGTAAAAAAAAAAAAAATCTTCATCACCCCCCACAAGTAGTACAGTGTCACCATGGTGACAAAAACATAAATAATAATATAAAAAAAAAATAAAAATGTAAAAAATTTGTTTAAAAAATTATGATTTTTGGTTATAAACTAATTTGGGTTTTTTTTTTTTTTTTTTTTACTAAAAAGATCATTAAATACATTTTGGCCAAGATTTATGAAGAAAGATTATTTATTTTCAAAATTTTATAAGAAAAACACTTTTAAAAAAATTTTTGGACTTTTTCATTTATATAGCAAAAAAAAAAAAAAACAGTGGTGAATAAATACCACCAAAATAAAGCTTTATCTGTCTCAAAAAAATGCGAAAACATTCATATGGGTACAGTGTTGCACGATTGCGCAATTGTCATTCAAAGTGTGACAGTGCTGAAAGCTGAAAATTGGCCTGGACAGGAAGGGGGTGAAAGTGTCCGGACAGGAAGTGGTTAAAGCTAAACCCCAGGCAGATATAAAAGATACAAATTAATACTGCTCTATATTTACTAATAAATTATATTGTGCCTCTTGCAGTCGGAAGAAGATGCTAGTCAGATGAGCTGTAGTGCAGGGAAGAAAGGAGAGAGCAGAGTGGCTGAGAGATGAGCTGATCAGTCCACTGTTTCTCCATTCACTGTCCAATCAAAGGCTTGGGGGAAGGGGCAGGGGACAAGACTTGTAAGTGTTACCTAACTGCAGCAAAGAAAAATCAGGTCTCCTGCCAGACAGGACTGTGTGCAAATCATTTTTATATTTCTATAAACTTTTTTTATATAGCTATTGTATATTCTGGTCTGCGTTTTATATTTATATATATTTTGATATACGTTTTATATTTTTTTTATATACTTTTTATGTTTATATAACTATATTTTTATAAACTTTTTTCCTATATATTTTTTTAATATACTTTTACTATTTATACATTCTTTATATACTTTTTCTATATTATAATTTTTTGATACATTTTATATATCCATATATTTTCATATACTTTTTTATATGCAGCATGTTCTTCTGAATCCTGCTGATCACACACATACACTTCACAGGACACTCCATAGCCAGTGTGTAGAGAGGGCGTATTACCAAATCTGTGGTTTCTTGTTTATGGCGGCAGTGTTGCTCTTTACTTAAGCTCACCGCTTTCATTTCCATAAATCACTGAATGACAAAACTGAATGTTCCTGAAACAATGTGGAATCTGCTTGTTAAATCCAGCACAATGGGGGTTCTCTTCATTAATGTATGCTTTATGCAAAGATATTTACAATACCCGTTTATAGCTTTAGAAATGTATGCTGTTCTGACAATAAAATTGCAGTGCCGGCGTTATGAGAGAGGCAATTAACCGGATCACAAAAAAGTCAACCCCACCATTTGTCAAATGGAAAATTTTAAAGTAAACAGTGTAAAAATCCATACCTGGAAAACATGGATCAAGTTTTAAACTAGATGCGGTAAAATCCCTTTGATGTTTTAACAGGTGACATATAGATTCAAAAATCAGTTTCAATCTTGTTAAATTTGCAGTTTTCACTACATTAATGCTTGGTGATTCTGCCATTAAGGTCCTTGTGCAGGCACTTCCTGTTGTGAGGTGACAACGCTGTGTCCCTATTGTTCTCCAGCATGGTCACCCTGCTTCATCAGCTTCCAGTGGATGATACATAATACCACTTTAATTTATTCTGGCCAATAGAATACATTAACGGCAAATGCGTGAACATGCATTAATGAGCATGCAAAACACGACTTTACCCCAGCTTCACACCTAAGCATTTTTCGCAGCGTTTTGCGTTTTATAGAAATGCAGTACAGTCCATTTAACATGAATTCCTATGGGACATGTTCACATCTGCGTATTTTCACCCGGTGTGTTTTTTGGAAAGGGTCAGAGACTTCTTTGAACGCAAAAACTTGAGTTTTTGGTTTTATAGACTTCAATGGAAACACTGCAGAAAAGCATGTAGTGCATTTTTGCTGTATTTCTGAGGCGTTTTTTATACATTTTGCATTTTAAGAAAAATTTAAAAAAAATGAAGAAAAAAAACCGCAGCAAAAACGCATAAAAATGCAGGTGCAAAAACGCAATTCAGAAATGGATCAAACGCAACCTGTATAGGTGTGAACCTAGCCTTAGGTGCCTTATTTTCAGTTGCTCCCCTGGAGCAAAGGCATCTATGTGAGAAAACAACATCTCATGTGCATGATGCCTTAGGTTTTTTTCCTCTTAATTTTTACCTGGTGGTCCTGCAAATAACATACTTCCGCTCCTTGGGTGGGCATGAAGTTCATTTCTCAACTGTAGCTATGAAAGGGCCATGGTTGCGACACAAGCTGGACTTCAGACATATCTACCTTCATTCATCTCCATTATCTGGGAGCTGGGAAGTACATCTCATACCTGAGGGTGTGTTGGGGAAGTGGACAATCTCTGTAGTAGTTGGAGCTACTACAATGATAGTGGTGCTCTTCAGGGTTCTATGACGGGAGGTTGCCCCACAGCACATTGGCCTTCGAGGGTCACTCCTGCATCACCACCATTCACAGAACTGCTTTTATTCTTTTCAGTGAATGAGACTTTTCAGGCTTTCTCTGATTGAACTAGGTGGAGATTGTGACATCATCTCCCTTCCCCTCCACCAAGTCCATTCAGACCATTGAGTCCATTCAAGTCTGAATGGACTTTGTGGAGGGGAAGGGAGATGAGGTCACAATCTCCACCTAGTTCAATCTGAGAAAGCCATCTGATCATTGAATCATTTTTCATGGGTTTTCTAGCTTCAGGCATTTTTGTTTTGGTCAATGGAGAACAATATCAATCATCTGTGGCATCAAATGTCGTAGTATAACAATTAAAAGAAGAGATCACTCGTATCAAAGATATTCCTCACAAAACAGTTCTCTCCCCTGTCAGCTCCTGCACAGCCATGCAAAGCAGTGTGCTTACAGTGAAGCACTAACACAGCACACTTAGTAAACACAGCACACAGTTAACCCTTTGCTCGCCCCACATGTTCACCCCTTCCTGCCCAGTGCCATCAATACAGTGTCAGTGCTTTTTATTAGCACTGATCACTGTATTGGTGTCACTGGGGATGTCAGTGACACCAAGTTAGTTCCCCCCAGTGTCAGAATGTCCACCGCAGTCCCGCTATAAGTCGCTGATCGTCGCCATTACTAGTAAAAATAAAAAAACAACAACAAAAAAAAGCCCAGTTAATATACCGTCATTTGTAAATGCTATAACTTTCATGTAAACCATTTCATTTTACACGTATTGGTATTTTTTTTTTTAGCAAAGACATGGAGCAGAATACATTTTGGCCTAAATTTGTGCCGAAATTTTATTATTTTTTAATTTTTTTACTGGACATGTTTAATAGCAAAAAGTCAAAAATGCTGTTTTTTTCTCAAAATTGTCGGTCTCTTTTTTTATTATAGCGCAAAAAAAATACAAACTGCACAGGAGATCAAATACCACTGAAAGAAAGCTCTATTTGTGGGGGAAAAAATACGTAAATTTTATTTGGGTGCAGCGTTGCATAACCTCGCAATTGTCCGCTAGCACCCCAGTCGCACTGGGTGCGAGTTGGCATGCAATTTGCATGCCAAGCTCCTTGCAAATCATATGCCAAGTCACACCCTATTTTCTGCAATTACAGCGGTCAAATCGGTGCGATTCTGACTTGGTCAGAGCCGCACCGATTTCTAAAGTTGTACATGCACTACTTTTCGCGCGATTTGCATAGAGATTTGTGTCAGATGTCTTGCAATTTGCTCCTGAAATCGGAATGTCACTGTAAGTCGCACGATTTCAAAGTCGTGCTTGATGTGACTGAGGTGTAAAGTAACGCAGCGCCGTAACGCAAAAAAAAAATGGCCTGGTCAGGAAGGGGTGGGGGGGAATCCTCTGGAGGGCGTGTGGTTAACACACATACATAAACCCATTTAAAAGAATATTATGGGTCAAAGGTCATGTCCATGGATCTAGTGGACCGAAGGGACAGGCATAGACAGTGAAAGAAATGTCGTAGTCGTCGTCCTTGTATCTGCTTCCAGGTTTTTCCGGTTGGTGTCATGGTGTCCTGTGCTTGTAGGCAAGTGCTTACAGGTGTTAGTGTTTTAGAAGTTTCCCAGGCTGCCCAGGTGGGAAAGGGTTAAGCCAAATTCTGCATTTTCCGGGCTCTGCCCTCCACTTTGTACTGCTAATAAATAGGTGGAAGGCTCTGCTTGGGGGATGCAGAGCTCAGCTCTGGTCAGCATGGGAAGGAGACGAGTGGCACAGCCTCAGGAAGAAACCACCAGCAACGTACGGGCCACCCTAAAAGGGGCGTTCACCTGGGCCGGGATTCTTCCAGACTATGGACTCTTACCTTGGGAAAGTATGCACTGGGCAGCCTGCATTTAGAGCAATGTTTCTCAACCTTTTTTCAGTCAAGGCACCCTGTAACTAGTTCCCAACCATACTATAGCCAAAGGACAACTACAGCATGGTTGTATGGTTCTGGAACGACGTCCATGGACGTCATTTCAGGACACGTCCCCTGTGCACCCCCAGCGGCACGCACCCCGATGCCACCGGTGATCGCTGTGTCCTATGGACACAGCTGATCACATCATACGGTAAACGGCCAATCAAGACAGACTTTTACTACGTGATCAGCTGTGTCCAATGACACAGCAGATCACCGGGTAAATACAGTTGCCGATTTATCGGCTGCACTTTCCTCACGCTGTCATAGCTGGGAACTGATCATCAGTGCCCAGCAGTGCCACCCACCTGTGCATCCCACCTGTGCCCATCAGTGCCACCCCCGTGCCCTGCAGTGCCACCCACCTGTGCCCATCAGTGCCACCCATCAGTGTTGCCCAGCAGTGCCGCCTATCAGTGCAACATCATCAGTTACGCAGGACTTTTGACAGTTCTTTTCTGATCCCCATGGCTCAGTATCTAGCCTAGTCAGTGTTTCCACATAAGAGCTAACAAACTCATTGACTATTTATACACTGACACTAATTGCAATTTAAAAATCCACAGATGTGGGACATTAACCTCTAATTGGCATTTTAACCCGTGTGTGCCACCTTGTGTGTCTGTACCAAGGCCAAACATTCCAGGGGATGGAGACTTTTCAGCATGGCCATTTGGGTGATTTCTGTTATTATTATGATTTAAAAAGGAGCCAAACAAGTATGTGATAATAAATGGCTTCATATGATCATCATTAGAGATGAGCGAATTATTCAAAAATTCGATTCGGCTGATTCGCCGAATTTCCGGGAGAAATTCGATTCGATGCGAATTTATTCGCCGCGAATTTAACTTATTTAAAGGGTTTCTAGGCTTCAGAGAGCCTTTATATTAGTGCAGAACACTGTACCTTTAATTTAAATGCCCTTGGAGTCTGCTGGGGAAGAGAAATAATACTGTCAGTCAGTATGACATGCAGATGAGTGCCGTCGATCTTAGAATCACCGCACACTTCACTCATTTGGGCAGTCACGAGGCACGACGAAGAAGAAGAAGAAGAAGAAGAAGAATGAAAAGAAGAATGAAAAGAAGAAGAAGAAGAATGAATGAAAAGAAGAAGAAGAAGAAGAAAAGAAGAATGAAAAGAAAGAAGAATGAAAAGAAGAAGAAGAAGAATGAAAAGAAGAAGAAGAAGAATGAAAAGAAGAATGAAAAGAAGAAAAGAAGAATGAAAAGAAGAAGAAAAGAAGAAAAGAAGAATGAAAAGAAGAAGAAGAATGAAAAGAAGAAGAAGAAGAAAAAAGAAGAAGAAGAAGAATGAAAAGAAGAAGAATGAAAAGAAGAATGAAAAGAAGAATGAAAAGAAGAATGAAAAAAGAATGAAAAGAAGAAAAAGAATTAAAAGAAGAATGAAAAGAATGAAAAGAAGAATGAAAAGAAGAAGAAGAAGAAGAATGAAAAGAAGAATGAAAAGAAGAAGAAGAAGAATGAAAAGAAAAGAAGAAGAAGAAGAAGAAGAATGAAAAGAAGAATGAAAAGAAGAAGAAGAAGAATGAAAAGAATAAGAAGAATAATGAAAAGAAGAATAATGAAAAGAAGAAGAAGAATGAAAAAGAAGAAGAAGAAGAATGAAAAGAAGAATGACAAGAAGAAGAATGACAAGATGAAGAAGAAGAATGAAAAGAAGAAGAAGAATGAAAAGAAGAATGAAAAGAAGAAGAAGAAGAAGAAGAATGAAAAGAAGAAGAAGAAGAATGAAAAGAAGAAGAAGAATGAAAAGAAGAATGAAAAGAAGAAGAGGAAGAATGAAAAGAAGAAGAAGAATGAAAAGAAGAATGAAAAGAAGAAGAAGAAGAATGAAAAGAAGAATGACAAGAAGAAGAAGAAGAATGAAAAGAAGAAGAAGAAGAAGAATGAAAAGAAGAATGAAAAGAAGAAGAAGAAGAATGAAAAGAAGAATGAAAAAGAAAAGAAGAAGAAGAAGAATGAAAAGAAGAAAAGAAGAAGAAGAATGAAAAGAAGAAGTAGAATGAAAAGAAGAAGAAGAAGAATGAAAAGAAGAATGAAAAGCAGAAGAAGAAGAATGAAAAGAAGAAGAAGAAGAAGAATGAAAAGAAGAATGAAAAGAAGAAGAAGAAGAATGAGAAGAAGAAGAAGAAGAATGAGAAGAAGAAGAAGAATGAAAAAAAGAATGAAAAAGAAGAGGAAGAAGAATGAAAAGAAGAAGAAGAAGAATGAAAAGAAGAAGAAGAAGAATGAAAAGAAGAATGAAAAGAAGAATGAGAAGAATGAAAAGAAGAATGAAAAGAAGAAGAAGAATGAAAAGAAGAAGAAGAAGAATGAAAAGAAGAATGAAAAGAAGAATGAGAAGAAGAATGAAAAGAAGAATGAGAAGAATGAAAAGAAGAATGAAAAGAAGAAGAAGAAGAATGAAAAGAAGAATGAGAAGAAGAATGAAAAGAAGAATGAAGAAATGAAAAGAAGAAGAAGAAGAATGAAAAGAAGAATGAAAAGAAGAAGAATGAAAAGAAGAAGAATGAAAAGAAGAATGAAAAGAAGAAGAAGAAGAAGAATGAAAAGAAGAAGAAGAAGAATGAAAAGAAGAGGAAGAAGAATGAAAAGAAGAATGAAAAAAAGAAGAAGAAGAATGAAAAGAAGAAGAAGAATGAAAAGAAGAAGAAGAATGAAAAGAAGAAGAAGAAGAATGAAAAGAAGAATGAAAAGAAGAAGAAGAAGAATGAAAAGAAGAAGAAGAAGAATGAAAAGAAGAATGAAAAGAAGAAGAAGAAGAATGAAAAGAAGAAGAAGAATGAAAAGAAGAAGTATTCCAGTACAGCAAAAAGTGTATCTGCAGAGAGCTCCGCTATTTCTGACAGTTCTCTGACAGTTCCTTCACATTTACAGCGGTTGAAACATTGTATCTATTTATTTCCGAATAAAAACATCTGTATCCTAAATGGAAACAAATAGATACAATGTTTCAACCGCTGTAAATGAACTGTCAGAACTGTCAGAAATAGCGGAGCTCTCTGCAGTGACACTTTTGCCGGCTGATCGGGAAAAATTCGATTCGTGCACCCGAAGTTTGCTAAAATTCGGATTCGATGCGAATCGAATTTTTCCTGAAATTCGAAACGAATTCCACTTCGCCAGGTTCGATTCGCTCATCTCTAATCATCATCCTTCAATAAAAGAGCATTTTTTGGCATGATCAGTCATATTTTCAATATCAATGCCAAAATTTCACAATTTCTGCCAGGGTATGCAAACTTTTGAGCACAACTGTATATATATACAGTATCTCACAGAAGTGAGTCCACCCCTCACGTTTTTGTAAATATTTTATTATGTCTTTTCATGTGACAACACTGAAGAAATGACACTTTGCTACAATGTGATGTAGTGAGTGTACAGCTTGTATAACATGTACATTTGCTGTCCTCTCAAAATAACTCAACACATAGCCATTAATGTCTAAACCGCTGGCAACAAAAGTGAGTCCACCCCTGAGTGAAAATGTCCAAATTGGGCCCAATTAGCCATTTTCCCTCCCCGGTGTCATGTGACTCATTAGTGTTACAAGGTCTCAGGTGTGAATGGGGAGCAGTTGTGTTAAATTTGGTATTATTGCTCTCACTCTCTCATACTGGTCACTGGAAGTTCAACATGGCACCTCATGGCAAA